CTTATAACAGCTCATACCAGTGATGGAAAAGTAGGCACAATAGTGCCATTTTGGCACAATCATCCGGCACAGTCATAAAATACAGAAATTTAAAATAAAAGGCCACTATATGACAACAAATCACAAACCACATTATAGATTAAAAAAATACAAAAAGTGAAAATTAAAAGCACTAAAAATTAAAATAAGGGGCGTGAGAAATATTTACAAACCGCTGAAGTCTATTGTGAATACGCAGTACGAAAAGTAAGTTTTCGCAACAACAAGCTTAAAATTCAGAATTTTTAGAAAGATTCTAAGTTTACAGTTTTATAGTTCTTTAAATAAAAGTGCAAGTTTCTGCAATATCGCGATGATTTTTGATATTTTTTTCCGACGGTGTCATACATTTCCATCCATTAAAAAATTTTCGAACACACTTTTTATGGAAAAGAATGCATGAAATTGAATACTTGGAATCTCCTTAAAAATTCTGAATTCAAAGTTTGTTGTTGGGAAAGCCTGCTGAATTTTTGTGCAAAGTTTGAACGAAGTCTGATGAGGAGATGTGGTGATCTCCGAAATAGTGCTATAACTTCTACCGCTTAGACTTGTCGCTTTTTCAATTTTTCCTAATAAACAATCGTGGTACAAAGCTCAATAAAAATATTAAAAAAGAAATGACGATTTTTGTACATATATTGTGCTTATTAAACTATGAATTAGACTTTTATATAAAATCATTCGAAAAATAATCAATGAACAGTATAGGCGAACTGGTTAAAATGTCTCACTGCTATTATTTCGCATATAGGTACATATGTACATATACATACATATGTGTGTAAAAATGTCATAATACCTATATTTCGGTGTATTCCCCATACGTAATTGGAATTCTGTGTAATTTTACTATGAATTTATGTATATGTCTAAGGAATCCTTCATAAAAGTGATTTACTGTAATAATTTAACTAATTAATAGTTATTATATTACTTCAGTGTATTTAAAAAATATTATTTCTAAAAATATATTGTTCCTAAAACGCCGTAAAAAATTTAATTTTGTGGCACTTTCATCTTGTTTTCGGCACTGTTTTTGAAGATCCCTAATGATAATTGTCAGGGGGAAGTTTGGGGCACCCTCTGTGGTATCATATCATTCAAAATTACTTCAGATAGAAGAAGGGATGGTGCGGCAAGTTAGAGCTCATCATAAATCCTGCCAAAACCGCCATCATTTTCTCTACTAGGAAAAGAGCCCTTCCGGACATGAGGGGCATAACCTTGGAGGGGGTCGTGGTCAGCATCGCCACCGAAGTGAAGTATCTGGGACTAATCCTAGACACCAAACTTCTGTGGACGCGATCACTTCCAAGGCTACGAAAGCTTTAATGGTGTGTAAGCGTCTGGCGGGAAAATCCTGGTGTTGTACGCCTAGGATCCTAAGATCATGATAGTACAGCCATTGATTACCTATGGGGCGGTAGCTTGTGTTTCAAGAACTACTCTAGCCACGGTGAGACAATCACTCACCAAGCTACAACGACTGGCATGTGTATGCATAACAGGAGCGGTGCGCACATGTCCGACGACGGCGCTGGAAGTAGTCCTTGAACTCGAGCCTCTTCATATAACCATAGAGCAGGCAGCCAAAAGAAAAAAAGAATAGTCTTTGAGAAGAGATTCAAAATAGAGCTTTGCAGTAAAGCAACCTGGAGTGTCTCCGCTTTCGGATTTCTGTTCCTATGGGGAAATATCCGAGCATCTTTCAAGCAGAAGTGTACGCCATCTACCTATGTGTGGATACAATCATGAGTAGAGGGTATAGAAACGAGAGAATCATAATCCTAAGTGATAGCCATGCAGCACCTAGGACCCTCAAATCGTCTGAGCTCAAATTGTCGCTGGTCCTGGAGTGCATTGAGAAATTTAACTCCCTGGGTAGACACAATAACACCAAGTTAGCGTAAGTACCTCGTCACAAGGCAGTAGAGGGTAACGAGGTGACTGACTATCCTCATCGAGCCTTTCCTAGGAGTTGGTCCAACACTCTAAAAGAGGAGCTTAGGATAGAGAGGATCACTATACGGGATCTAAACTCGCAAAGTTCGTCAGAAATGCGTCAGGCAAAGAGTTTACTGGGAGGTCATAACAGAAGGCGATTCCAAAGATTAAACAGACCTCCCAAAAGGGCAGCTTAGAATAGTAACAGGTATCCTCACAGGATACTGCAGGCTGAGAGGCCATTTATACAAGCTGGGCATATGGTCGAGCGACCGTTGTCGGTTTTGCGACTCTACCAGCGAAACAACTCTACACATCCTCACCGAATGTGATGCAGTCTGCAGAAGACGTGAGAGAAGTTAGGCACAATGTGGCCACAGCTTAGGCAATTCACACCCTATACCCTAAGGTACTGCTGAATTTTCTCAGAGATTTAGGTCTAGAGGAGGTATTGTGAAGAGTGGAGGGCACAATAGACCACTAGGTTGCGGTGCAAACCTCATTTTATTATCTATCTATCTATTGTTTTCATAAGTATGTATTTATCGATGTGCTATTCGATTACGATTACCTATCAATCAGGCCGATTCCCGTTGGCGTTGGCGTTTCTATGTCGTTGTCCTTTTTATCGTCGCTTCGTTCCCAAATTGGTATTGTTAAAATTGTAATGAAACAGCGAATAGAATTTACCGACAATCGGTTCAATTCAGTTCTTAACAATGAAATAACGAATGCTTCTATGTCATTACTAGGGGTCGGAATCTCATGCAAATGCATGTTGTTTTTGGGCATATTCAAATAGAAATGGTTAAGTTATCTTTATGAATAATGAAATTTCCGTTAAAATGGCATTCAATCATTAGTGCATATTCATGCATTTTGCATGCATAAATGCATGGTTTTGCATATTTCTCAAAAAAATACCTGTTTTTGCATATTTATTGCTCATATTTCAGTATATTTTACAACAAATGCATACGGTTTTCGCATATTTTTGCTTTTTTTGATTTACAACCATTTAAATTTAGTGCGAAATCTAGAATTAACTATAATTTTTACCCAAATATTCATCTGAATATCTTCTTTAAAGCACTCACTTGTACCTATGTTAGATTTCAACTAGTGGAGGACTGAAGGATAGAGGCTTTATCTCTGATCAATACCAAATTACGCTAATATGGGTCTCGGGACATAGGGACATTTACGGGAACGCGACAGCGGCTCCGCCCTGAACGTGTCCCACGCAAAAATTACCGAAATTTATTACTTCAAGGCCAAGCAGAGGTGGAATCGGCAGTTCTGGGTGTCCTACGACACATTTTAAACCAAAGCTTTTAGGAATGAGCTATGAAGATGCCTGCAAATTAACTGCAGCGTACACAGGCAACTGGCACGTTGAGTGCATGCCGGACGGATAGGACCGTCCTTCAATAGGTTAGGAGACAGTCGAACACTTGCTGGGCGAGTGTCAATCCCTCGCAAGGATGAGGCTAAAAACACTCGGCAAACCATTCCTGTAGAATATTTCAGAGTGTAGATGCCTCTCTCTGTATGACGTACTGAAATTTATTAAAACCGCCAAATGTCTGTAGGTTACACGAGTTGCGGAATCAGAATGGCAAATTTGCTAATTGCTTGTCACCAGGGTGACAATCCACTTAAACCAACCAACCATTCATTTGAACCACTATTAAACTATCAATGTTTCTATTTGCACAAGATTGTAACAGTCTGCTTGATTATAAACTGATTTTACACATACCTAAATATGTATTGTATTTTCAAGTTAATTGTTTTCGTTATTTTCTTGTTAAAATACGTGTTATTTCCCACCATGCAAAACATGAGTAATAGGCAACAATCGTCAATGGCAACAAATTGGCGACTCACCGATTTATTGCCGTAGTGAGAAATCGGCAACATCATTTCTTTTATGTCGTCTTAGGAATATGTTTTCAAAAATGCCCAAACTGATGAACTGCGCGTCATCAGAATTTTTCAAAAACATCTAATTACTGCCCAAGATAGGGTTAAAAAAAATGGGAAGCCTCCTAGCGACGAAAATAATTAATTTCGTTTTCAAATTATAAGTTTGTGTTCAAAAACAAATGAAATATTCAAAAAGAATAAAATTGTGGCGAGAAAGTGTTATTCAAATATCGCCTGTAGCAATAATAAAACGACTCATTCGGGTAATAAGAAAACGACTCGCCCAGGCAAGTTGCCTTCGGCGGACGTTTTACAGCGACTGGTAATAAGAAATCGATACGATGGCGATATTGTCGGCAATAAATTTGTTGTTATTGTCTGGTGGGTAATTTTTGTGCCGACAATAAAATATTAGTAAAATATTATATATATAATTGGATATTTTACTTTTTTATAGCGCATATTTTTGAACTTTGAGGGCATATTACATGCGCATATTTTCGATTTTTTAGTGCATGAGATTCCGAGCCCTAGTCATTACTATCTTCACTTCAAAATGAAAAATTCCGAAACATTTCTGATAAATATTCGTATTTTTTAAGAGTTAAGAAATACGCAACATAACCGGGAGAGGGAATTTGTTTTTTACCCAGCACTCTTCAGCGACTCAGAACATTTTAATTTTTTTTTAGTTGAAGATATCGCTTTGAGAAAAGTAAACCTTATCCTTCCTTATCAACCAAGGAAAAATCACCAGATGATAAAAAAGCGATAATCTGTTTAGTGCGCTCTTGTCTGGAAAATTTATTTATAAGTAGGACTGAGTGGACTAATCATCTTTAAAAGTCATATGAAGACGTCATATTGGTGAAAATTTTTGCGTGAAAATTTGTGGGTAGAGAGGTTCATAGATGTGAAAGGGATTTTACTTTTTTTTGAAAAATTCTGATTTTTAAAGTTTTTTATAAGCAAATATATTTTTAAGCAATCTTTTTTCAGAACACATTTTCTCTTAAAGTATTTGACGAAGGTTTATGAAATATTTTTTGGAAGCGTAGTGACATTAGAGCTTTAAAAAAATATTTTTATAATTTAGAAACAAATGTATATTTTGATTATTTTTCGGTTTTTGTCTTTATTTAGTACATTACACTAGAAGGCAAGTGCCTATTTTACCTTTTTTTGTATGTAGGCTGTTAGGTCCTAAAAATCCGTTCCCTGGTAATAATGTTGCGTGTGAACTCCAAAAAAATTGAATTAATGCAATTTTTTTAACACATACCTCCGATGCAAAACTCAACCTAAAAATTTCTTAAAAATGCCACAAATGCTATAATTATTATATAAGGTTATGTTAAAAGTCGCAAATATGAGCCAATTGTTAGTTGCTTCTGTACGCGCTTTCTAGTGAACACGTTGCGCGCATATACGGTGCGCGTGCATGGTTCACGATGCGTGGGCGCTGTGACAAATGTTGCTGTAAGTCAAAACCAGAAAAGATGTAACAAAATTTTTGTTTACAAATATTTTCTCCAATAAATACAGTTTTTGAAAATATAAACGAAATGGAAAAGAGTCATTGAGAACATATTTTTAATGCAACTTGAATATTTATGTTTAAATTCCAAAAAATTTTTTAAATTATAAAAATACTTTTTTTTTAAAGCTCCAATGTCATTACAAAAAAAAAAATTTATAAACTTTCGTCAAATACTTTAAGAGAAAATGAGTTTTGAAAAAAAGATTGCTTAAAAATATATTTGCTTATAAAAACTTTAAAAATTAAAATTTTTCAAAAAAATTCTCAGAATCCCTTTCACATCTATAAACCTCTCTACCTACAAATTTTCACGCAAGAATTCGAGCTTGACTGAAATCCGAGGTCCAGTTGAAAAATTTTCACCCATATATTATTGAAAAAGCCGAAAAAGAAACAAATCGCAGAAGTGGTTAAGAGTATCGTATGTGATCGTTTTTTAATATCGTGATTATTTTATTATGTCAAGACGTCACACCAGTTAAGTTGCAACCGCGCATTGAGTGTTGCCACGAAGTTTGGAATCTGTGCAACCAGCCCAGGAATGGATTTAAGAACCGAAGACGGAACTTGGTTTCAACACTATGAACCTGATGGAAGCAGGGGCCTATGTACTGGAGAAAAGATGTCCCCTAAGAAATTTTAGCGGTGTCGCGATTGGCGGGAAAAATGTTATTTGAAATTTTTAGGCTTTGTAAAGGGTTTTATTTGTCGATTATAAAGAAGGAGGAGGGAAAATAGACCCGCACATATTAATTTTGTATTCTATATTTTCTTTTCAATTCACTACTTCATAAAATGATAATTCTCCGTCCCGCGTTTTAAATTAAGTGAAATAAATAAATTTAGAATCAAAAAATGTTTTTTTATCTGCTACTAAATGAGTTTTATGTATAGATTTAACAATTCTCTTTCCTTACATACCTCATTGTCCAGCACACTAGCCACCACCTCCACTAATAACGTTCCCAAATTTTGTGCATTTACGCCGGTCACTGCTACTGGCTCCAATTGCATTTGTGGTTCACATAGTCCTTTCAACACTCCCGATTGTGCATACTGCACCATTTTCTTGATAAGTCCAAGGCTGGCTCGACGTACGCTGCCTAGCATTGTACCCTGGAAGGTACGGCAGAATACAGGCAAAAATAATTTCAAATAAATTGGTGCCATTTCCGGATCGCCACGCGGTTCCAGTGTGCCATTATCATCGGCTCCATCTTTGTTTGCGGCCAAATTGCCAGCAGCCATCCATTCACCAGGTGACTGCAGTATGGCTGCCACCTCACGATGACCATCATCAGCACGCTCACGTGCCTTATCCAGTGGGGTTTTGCCATCTTCGTCGCGCAAATCTGGATATGCGCCATACTTGAGTAGTACTTTAGCTATGCTGGGGCGACCAAAGCATGCAGCATAATGCAGCGATGAACTGCGCTGTCCCTTATTCACGTCAGCACCCTTTTCGCACAAATATTCAACCATTTCGAGTGTGCCAAAAGCAGATGCCCAGTTTAGTAAAGTCTGACCAACATCATCCATGCAATTGACATCTATGCCACCTGATTCGATAGCCTCTTGTAAGGCTTCCGTGTCCTTCGACCGAATGCAATCAATTAATTGGCGGTGTGTACGCTCAGCGCTTGAATCATTGCGACGCACACGCGATGCTAGTTGACCTTGTGCACCACCAGCTGCACCGACACGATTCAATGCCTGTCGCCCCTCAAACAACAACAGCAATAGTAAATCGGCCAGACGCATGCAATCTAGAACGCAGCGCTCATCACCTTTCAAAGCACGTTCAATTGCATCGGGCAATTGAGATCGCAATATATCGTGAGTGATTGCTGGCGATCCGCGGCATAGAGTCGACAGTAAAGATATAGTTGTGGAAATTGACTGTGAAGAGCGTGATGGATCGCTAGTTTGGGCTGGTTTGCTTGGTGTGGTAATCGTTGTGGAAACGGCATTTAAATTATCATTATTAGTACCGCTGCCACTACCAGGAGCCGATGTGGAAGCACCAGAAGTTCCTCCCGGGCTGACAGCTGTCGAAGTTGATGTATTGCTAACAGGCCCTGCAGCATTTCCCAAACGTTTTAACAATTCTTCGGCAAGTCCATACTCGGCCAATGGTGCAGGATCGACCCACTTGCGTGTGTAACGATCAGCCACTGAGGCGAAACATTTCAATGCACCATCTGCTACCATCGGATCCTCGTGTTGCAGTAGCGTGCTGAGACTCTCTACACAATTCTGAATGCACGGTGCATTCGGTTCGACTTTGGTGCAGAGGCGTGACACAACCGCCATAGCGGAGTGCAAGGTATCCTTATGTACTTGTGAGCCACAATCACGGATGAAAGAGAGCACACAGTTAAGGCCGCCACCATCGAATACAGCACCTGCCTCACGGGTACAAATTAACTCCAACACCTTAATGCACTGCTCGGCTAAATCGCGTGAAGTACGAGATGACAAATCGGCGACAACTAAACGATTGCAGATTGCTTTAATGGCACCATCGATAGCCACAATGCGGCGTGTACATTCAGCCGATACATCCAGATAGTAAGTTATAGCACGTGCTGTGACTTCAAGTACGTTTTCTGGTGCTAGATCATCCAGAAAGATTTTACAAAGCGCTGGTAAAAATGTGCGTGGTGGACAACTACCGAAGAAGATGTGAATTCAATTGGGTAAACCATTAGAGACATAAAAAACAGATGAAAGGCCATAAAGTAGAGGGAAATGAAAGGAGAAATTCCAATTATAGCGCTTACTTACCTTTCGAAACAACGATCGACGTTATCGGACATGAGGAGAAGCATGCAAAGTTGCTCGAGGGCGATCAGTTGCATGTCACGCTCATCGCCCTGGCCCATGGAAAGCCATTCTAAGAGAGTTTCTGGATCAACGTCTCCCATCTGCAAGTGTACAGAGAAACAATTTAAATTTTGTATTGAAATTTTGAAATATTGAAGTAAGAAAATTTATGTATTTATATAAACAACTGCTTTTGCTATAATGAATCATTATTGAATCATGTAATGCCGAATTTCCACTAGGCATTGAAATGACAAAAAATTTACACCATTTAAAAAAATGCCATGTGGGAATGAACTTAATGACAATTTTTTTTAATGTAATGACACGATTATTTTGTAATGCCTGACTTTGTCATTTGTCATTTTTGCCATTTAATGCCCAGTGGAAATCCAGTATAAGTTTTGTACATATCTAGATATATGAAAATTATATGAATACAAATAATATCAAAATTATGAATACATAGCAGAGTCGGCATTCGTGAAGGACCAATATCGAGTATTCCTATCCTGTGGGACCCTCTGTTTAATTTCTCTGACTTTTTAGGTTGTTTGATCTCTATTTATACACCGATTTCGAAATTATCCACGGTATTTGAAATTTTCGAAGGTATTTTTTTTTCTGGGTTTAAATGAATGGAAAGGACTAGCTTTTCCCCACAAGGCCAGGTTGTTCCTTCGAATTACAAGCACAAATCTTGTTAGTTTCTACACGACACGTATGAAGACGTTGAAAGTAACTACACGAGTCTGTAGTTTGCCTCCAAAAATGCAAGGTTGAGATTCTTCGTTGACTTCTATAGTATCTGGCCTAATCCACTTTGACGATAATGAGCAGCGGGATGCTTGGTGTAAATCGTTCAGTCGGTAGATGACGTAGTTGCTTATGACATTTAAAGACATGATGATTGTGCGGTATGTGTGGCAATGCAAGTTCATTATCAAGCAGGCGATAAGAACGTTGGACGGATTGCAAAGGAGGGTGTTGTTAAAGAAAAACGTTCATTCTAAATTGGTTATCTTATTTGCTCTAACCAGCATGGATTTTTCAGAGGCAGATCAACTGTAACAAACTTTACTGTTTTTACTGAACACTGTTTCGTGACCTTTTGTGAAAGCCTTAAAGCGTAAACAGACGGCAGCGCTGATCCGGATCAACTCGGGAATTAACTGCAGTTGATCCGGATTAAGTCCGAGTTAATCCGGATCAACGCCGTATGTTTAAGCTTTTAGACAATTACCACGTTTATGCGACAGAATTTATGAATTCTTCACTTAATGACTTGAAAAATGGAAATTACGTATTTTGAAATAGGGTTGATTTCTTTGGCTTTATTTGAATTTTGGGCGAAATCAAATTGGTACCAGGCATTGGTCCATATATTTAAATTGGTTTTAATGTACTTGTATTAGGGGTGGGTATTCCCTTAAATTGTGTAAAACTCGTAATTTTACGGGGTTGTTACGGGAACGCCCCGTTTTGCAAATGTGTAAATAGGTGCGTAAAGTGACTGTTTGACATTTTTGTATTTCATAATAGCCCGTCACACAGTGCCGCCTAATAATGGGCTAAATGCAACTCCATTTCTGCATTAAGAATCTAAAAGCAACCCTGTGTTCTTAAAAATTTCCACGATTCGAACATGGTTTAATGAGTAAAAGTCGCAACACTGCTTTTCGCGTATACAGTTGCTAGCTGCGTTTCAGTGATCGCCGATTGAGAATTCATTTATTATTTTACATTATTTGAATAAAGAAAAGTTACGTAAAGTCAAAGTCAAAGTTTCAGTAGGGTTTTTGCACATTATCTTCTCCGTGTTTGACTGATCTTCTCCTCCG